ACAGGGTGAGGGGCGCGTTGGACCTGATGCCTGAGTTTCAAAAGCGGAGTAAATGTCGGACTCTGTTTTAATGACTCGTTTAAGTCAATCAAATAAGGGAAGCAGATCAAGAGGAGGGCCGGGCTGAGTTTGACGAGGGGGTGGAAGCCCACCCTCTCCCCTCCTGTCTCCACCATACTGTGAGAACCCTGATCCTGGAAGCCCACCATCGACTCCCACAGCTCGAGGAACACAGTTCAAACATCTCTACCAGATTATTCCTCCTAAGAATGACCTGGATAGTGAATCCCCACTCTCCAGCTTCCAGCTGTGTGGCCTTGGGCCAGTAACTCACCCTCTCTGTGCTCCAGTTTACTTCTCTGTACAGTGAGGATCAGAAGTCCCACTCCTTAGGGTGTATTTGGTGACTGGTTACCAAGGTCTTCTTTGCATGGTATCAGGATTCTACATGTATCAAATGTCAATCTTTTTTTTAATTGAGAAGATGCTCCGAGCTCAGGGGGAACAAGCCTGTTGGAGACCCAGGTGTCCCTCTGGCTCCCTGGGCTGCCTTCTGTTGTGTCCCCACAGCCCTGAGACTGAGGGCCTGGAACTGGGCGTGCTTCTTACCTACAGTGCCTGAGAGGTTGGGTGTCAGGTGGACCCTTGTGAACCTTCTGAGTGGTGGCCAGGCTCCTGGCCTACCTGGAATAGCAGGTGAGCCTCAGCCAAGTTCCACGAGCCTCTGGGGCAGTGCTGGGCAGGTCCACCTCACCGGAAACCGACCAGACTCCTTCCCAGGTCAGAGCCCAGGTTCTTCCAAAGGGGAGCACGCCTGCCCCACCTCCAGGCCTGCACCTACTGAGCCCCTCAGCTGGGCCCACAAAGCCCCACCCCAGGGCCCAGAGGTGCCAGCAGAACTGCAGAGGCTCTGGGCGTGGAGAAGCTTGTCAGGAACACACAAGAAACACCCAGAACCCTGGAATACCAAGGGCGTGTCAAAGAGCACGGGGGTCCTGTGGGTCACGACGGTTCAGTCAACACCGTCCACCTCCCTACAGCGAACCACCAACCCAGAAGTGACAAGGGTCGTGGGGTTGGAGGAGTTGGAAGCCGTGGGCACCGTCGGCGGGAACGCAGAAGCGCACGCATGGAAATCCACACAGAACCACCACTGGGTCCAGCAGCAGGTGGACAGCAGACGGGGAGAAGCAAAGGTGGCCCACCCCTCAGCCCCACAAAGGAATGGGACCTGACCACGTCACCCGTGGAAGAGCCTAGGACACCTGCCAGTCACGGCAAGACCCGAGCTGCACGATGCCACCACAGGGGTCAGGAACACTGAGATTCTCGGCCACCAAGTAGAACGGGGGCTCCAGGGGGGGTCGGGGGGAGGCGCAGGGGCTGGTGTCTCCCGGGCTGTGGAGACAGACGTGGTCATGGCCACGCTGCAGAGAAGATGAGCTCACTCCAGAGCGGAGCACTTAATACGCCCCAGATGGTCAGTTTTACGTTATGTGTATTTTTCTGCATTAAAACAAAACCCAGAAGATGCCACAAGGCTGGGAAAAGTTGACTCTGGCTTTTAGAATCTAATGGAATAGGTGGTGGAAACGTTCGCAGCACATATTGCAAAAGGCAGTTTTGAATCTGGGTTTTCAGGTGGGGGTCTGCTCGCGGCTGGTCCACGGGTCTCAGGCGCGGCTTTTCCCCTGTACGTAGACGGAGGCTTATTCACACCGAATCTTCTGGTTTCTGACTTTAGTGGATTGGCCACAAGAGACACAATAGCAGGCTATGAAGGCAGAAGGTTCCTGTTTGTTCAGGCCTGAGGTGTGTCCCCAACAGGTCATATGTGGACCTCAGCCTGTGGCTGCACTTTACGGAGGTGTAACGTAGAATGAGATCATATGGGGGTCCCTCATCCAATGTGACAGGTGTTCTTAAAAAAGAGATTGGCTTTGGGGGTAGGAAGGACAGTAGAACGAGTGGGACATCATTACCCATGTGCATATATGATTACACGACTTGTGTACCTCACATCATGTGCAACCAGAAAAATGAGAAGTCTTACTCCATTTATATATGATGTGTCAAAATGCAGGCCACTGTCACGTGTAGCTAATTAGAGCAAGACATTGGGACATAGACATGCACAGAGGACCGTGTGAGGACATGGTGAGAAGATGCATCCACAGGCCCAGGAGAGAGGCTCAAGAGGAACCAGCCCTGCCCCCCTTGACCTTGGACTTCCAGCCCCAGGACTCTGCACAATCCAACGCTGGGTAGAAGCCACCTGCCGGTAATATCTGTTGCATCCACCCGAGCAAATTAATGCTCTACTCCACTTTCAAAGTACTCCTCAGGCCCCAGAATAGCACCAAGGGCTATTCTGTGTGCAGACGAGCAAGGCTTGGAGGAACCAAGGTCACACTGCTCACACTGCTGGCCAGTGCCGGGCCAAGCCAGGTTCTCCACTGGAACCCGCATGCCCTCTTCAAAGTCCTGCCTGAGGATGGGGAGGGTGTGAAAGCGCCTCACAGAGGATGAAGTCCTGAGAGGTTTTCAGAGTGTCAGAGCGGACCTGGCACAGAGGAGGGGCAAAGCCTCACATGTACTGTTGCCGCCAAACCTCCCGATGCGCCCACCCTATGTGCCTAGTCCTGGGTGTTGGTATTGTGCCCATTTCACAGACGAGGGAACTGAGACTCAGAGAGTCAAGTTGGGTTGGAGCCCAGGCATCTGACCCAGGACTGAATGGCCCAGGTCTGAATGGCCCGCGCATCCTTTTCTGATGGAGTCTGTCTTTCTGGGGGAGGGGAGGTGGCTTGTGGCTGTAGGGCGCTTTCTCCCAACCATAAATCTGCAGCAGGGAGAATACCAATGCTTTGCCCATTCATACCCTCTTGGCCTCTGCCCCCTGGCCACATCCCCACTCTCTCCCACCCCTCTTTCCCTTCCTCCCCTCCCTTCCATGAGTTTCATCTCCTGGCTGGGAGCTGGAGGGCTCTTTGTCCTGTCTGGACTTATTTATGTGGAACAAAAGCCACCAGGAAACCTTGTCCCAGGCCCGGCCGCTGGGGCAGTGCGCCCCCTGGTGGAGAGAACTCTGCCTGGTCCTGCAGGCGGGGCTCCAGCCTCCCCTTCCCAGGGGTTCCCAGGCAGCGGAGTAGAGGAGGGCCCCTGCCTTCCTAGCCCTACTGCTGATCTCCTGGGCTTCTCAAGCCCCTGCAGATGTCACTGCACACTAGCGCTGGGGAAAGCACAGCATCAGCTGGGCCTGTGATTCTAGGACCCCAAGTGACACTACAAGAAGGGGCACTTCCAGACCTCACACAGCCTGGCCCAGCAGTTCTCAGTCCTGGGTGGACCTTGTTACCAGCTGGGAATATTTAAAAATGCTGATGCCCAAGCCCACCTGGAACCTGGCGCTGGGACTTGTTAATGTGCCACCCTCCCCCCACCTGGACTCCTACATAATTCTCACATGCAGCAGGGCTGAGAGCCCTGGTCCTCAGCTACTTATGAAGGTGCACTGCTGACGTCCTCCTCCTGTAAGCACCGTGCTCCCTGCACAGCACCTACCCATTGCAAGCGGCCGTGACAGCCAAGGTCAGGTTCAAATCCCAGGTCCAGCCTGACCAGCTAAGAGAGGAGGCTGGTGGGGAGGGCTCTCTTTCAGTTTCTTCATCTGTGGAAACAGGTGGTCATGGGAACAAGAGCCACGATGCCCTGACCTCTCTCCCACCCTCAGACTGTGGTGGAAACAAACAGCAAATTGTACGCAAACCCCAGGACATTGCAGGGGACACTCGAGGCAGGGCTCAACCATGAGGGCCCCGCCACGCGGCCACAGTCCTGTAGCCAGAGCCTCCGTACCTCCTCTGTTCCTGGGGTGCTAAATTCCTAGCTCAGGGGTCCTCTCGGGGTCAGATGTAGAGAAACCCAGCGAGCTGGCTGCCAGGCTGGGAGGGCGCGGATGGGCAGGGGAGTGCACATGTCACTGAACTTACGTCAAAACCCACAGAATGTTCCACATGGAGCGAACCCTGGTGCAGGCTGCGGTCTTTGGTTAGTAATGTGCTAACAGTGACTCTTCAATTGCAGCAAATGGACCCACCATTTGGAGCAGAGGGAGGGGAGCACACGGGGACTGTACACCTGGGGACTATTATTATTATCATTATAAACCCAAACTGCTAAAAAAGTCAAGCCTATTATAAACAGAACAAAAGCAGGACAAGTGGGGAGGTTTCGTGACCAGCAGGACCGCCCACGGGCTTTGTTGTACCACCCAGTGCCCCTTGTGCCTGGGGTTGGAGCCCCAGGAGCGGGTCTCTCACAGTCCCCCAAAACCCTGGTTCCCAGGACTCCAGGACTCAGGCCAAGGATTTGTGGGGTGAGGGCGCCCCCTTCCGGCCTTGAGGGGCAGGGACAACTGGGTCCCTGGTCGCCCTGGGGCTGGGAACTGGATTTCACGGAGAATCGGGGGCTCCCTCAACGTGCACACTAGTACACATCCTGCATGCCACCTCCCGATTTGTTAATGCCAGCAACGATACGGAAAACGTCAGACTCTCGTGGCTTTGTGACGGAAGAGTCCCATAGTGCCAGTGCACAGCCAAGGCAGGACTAATGGCTCCCCCTCAGGCATCTGGGAGGAGAGGGCAGGGGAGGGGGGGGCCTCGCAGTCAGAGCAGTGGTGGCTTGCTGCTGGCCGACCTAGGGTTATGGCTGGTAGCACTGAGCCTTAGGCGATGACCATCACCTAACAGTGTGTCAGGCACTCTGAACCCTTTACTGGACTTGACCACAAACAAAAATGGTCTACCCCCATTTTACAAACAAGCAATGGGATACACAGAGAGGCTAGGTAACTTGTCCAAGGGCACACAGCTAGTGAAAAGTGGCTTCTATTTGGCTCCACTCCAGAGCCCCGCCACCAGCCACCTGCCAAGCCACCTCACCTCCTGGTTTCCCCATCTGACGAATGGAATGCCATCCCCCCCCCCCCCCCCCGCCCCCCTGCTTTAGCGGCTTGTCTGGGCTGGATGGAGTGCTGAGAGTAAATGTCAAGGTCAACCTCAGTCCCTAGGCTTGGCGCAGGGAGTCCCTTGAGTCAGCAGGCGCCTAGGGCTGCAGCTCATACTGGCCCTCGGTGGCCGTGTAGAAGTCCTCAAGCACCGACTGCAGGAACTCAAAGGTGGGCCGCTCCTCGGGCCGACTTCGCCAGCACTCAGCAATGACCTGGCGGTACAGCTCGGGTGGGCACGTGTCCGGCCTTGGCATGCGGTAGCCTCGCTCCAGGCTGCGGATGACCTCGGGATTGCTCATGCCTGCAGGCAGAGGGACAGAGCATGTCGGGGAGGGTGGTTTCCAGAGGGGGTGGTGTCATCCAAGTGGCCCTGGGGGACACTGGGCCTGGAAGGGGAGAGCAGCCCCCACAGGCTCATCAGTTCAGTCTCCTCCCTGGTTGGTCACCTGGCCACCCAGCTGGTGACCCTTTAAACAGAACTTGGTTTACTTTTTATTATCTGGAGAGCTGGAAACGAGGCTGTCGATTCTCTCCTGAACTAGACAATCCGTCTCAGGATGGGACCCTGTCTAGGTCACCTGTCCAGGAAAACTGAACCTCTGCTATTGGTGGGGCTGCTCCCTGCAGCCTGCAGAGCTGCTTAGGCCCTTGTGACATGAGCCTGGGGCTCAGGTTCTGCCCAGGGACAGGCTTCAGAGGATGCCCCCAGGCTAAGGCCAAAGAGGGACCACTGTCCTCAATGGCCGACAAGCTCCCTGGATGAACTCTGTCTAGACCTGACTGCCTCGGCTGCTGTTTTTAGGGGGCTCGTTTGACCTTCCCTGGGCACAGCCCTGAGGCCTAGGGTGCTACTGATAGAGGGGACTAATCCCACAACCAGAGGGAGGCCTGGATCCTAGTCCAGCTGACGGGCGGCCCTCTGACCAGTGGGTGGTGGCCACAGTGCCTGAGGATGGGATGGCTGCCATGGGCCGTAACAGCAGAGCAGAACACTGTGAGAGCTGCAAGAGGCAGCACCTACCTGGGTATGGCACGCGCCCATAGGTGACGATCTCCATCAGGAGGACCCCGAATGACCACACGTCTGCTTTGATGGTGAACACCCCAAAGTGGATGGCTTCCGGGGCGGTCCACTTGATGGGGAACTTGGCTCCTGGGGGAGAAGCCCAGCAGCTCTGTGAGGCCAGCCTGGCTGCCCTGCCCACAGCCTCCCCGCCTGTCCCCACAGCTGGGCCTCGCAGGGCTTGGCCACCAGACAGTGCAGAGGTGCACCCAGGGAGTCAGGAGGACACTGGAGGGTGTGTGCCTGAGAACTCACAGGCCCAAAAGGGTCCTCGCAAGAGGAACTGTTGGTGCTCCGCAGGCTGAAGGGACTCCAGCAGAGGAGACCTTTGTCACCTGGTGAGGCACAGTGGCTGATGTTCTTTACCACCCAGAGACCCGGGAGTCTCTACCAGTCACACGTCTGTCCCCACTGTCCTTAGGGTCTTTAAAAAGAGAGCAGGTGGGCCGGGCATGGTGGCACACACCTGTAATCCCAGTGGCTTGGGAGGCTGAGACAGGAGGATGGAGAGTTCAAAGCCAGCCTCAGCAAGGTAGCGAGGCACTAAGCAACTCAGTGAGACCGGTCTCCAAAGTAAAATACAAAATAGGGCTGGGGACGTGGCTCAGAGGTCAAGTGCTCCCCCACCCCCCACCCCCCCAAAAAAAGAGAGTAGGTGGGCTTCACTGGGCAGCACGCATGAATTTCCATCTGGGATAGAAGAGTCCTTTTCTATGTCGCCTGGCCTTGTTATAACATAGGCCCAACATTTTAACTTGTCCCAGTCCCTCAAGTAGTCCTCAAAGTGAAGGCTGCAGTCCTGGGTGGCATTTAGGGCACACCTCATGGCTCTCCACTGGGTGCCCGTCCTGTGAGCCAGCCTGAAGTCCCCTGAGGACAGACGTGGTCCCCGCACCACATCGCTCCTCCTGTGTCGGCTGATCTTCATACTCAGCTAAAGGTATTCAGATCCCCCCGTGAAGCAGATTTTGAGAGTAAAGCAAGAGTGCTCTGCAGAAACCCAAATGTAGGTCCAAGAATTTGCTGTTCGTGTTTCAGTGTGTTCTGTGAAAGCCCAGCTCCATGGGGTTCACAGGAGCCAAGTGGAAAAAGCATTTGCAACTCAAATTAGTTGGTGAGGCACCAGGTGAACCGCTGACGTGTTGTGAATCTCCGGGGCGGCGGGGAGATGGTCTGCCCAGTCTCCTGACCCACCGCATGCCGAGCTCCTCCTCGTGGGAGGTCTGGAGGCACTTCTTTTCTGCCATGCGCATTTAGGGGGGAAGGCCAAGTGGTGGGGGCCACAGAGGCCTCCCCGGGTCCCTTTCAGTGAGGCTCTGCAGTGCAGGACCAAGGAGAAGCTCAAGAGGGCTTCGGGGAGCTGGGCAGGTGAGGCCCGGCGTCTCCCTGCGGCTGGGGCTCTGCTCACCCTCTTGGACAGTGTATTCACTGTCAATGATCCGGGCCAAGCCGAAGTCCGCGATTTTGCAGCACAAGGTCTCAGACACCAGGATGTTGGCCGCCCTCAGGTCTCGGTGGATGGAATTCATGTGCTCGATGTACGCCATCCCTTCCGCGATCTGAGGAGACAGGTCCCAAGGTGAAGGTCGGCGTGGGGCCTCTCCTCCCAGCATCCCACACAGGCCCTGGGAGAGCAAGGACCTGACCACCACCTGACATCCTCTGGCAAGGCTGATGGGGCAGAAGGGCACGGTGGGTGCCTTTGATTGCTTTTAAGTGGATGCATGGAGGGCGGCTACCGCTGGGAGGGACATGTGTCCTCCTGGGTGGAGAAGAAAGAGGGCTTCCACTGCTTCCAGATGGGTAAGCCCCGAGGCCCGAGCAGCAGGGGGGCTAGCTGTCTCCTCCTGCTCTCCCCTTCCAAGCAGCTGTCTCCACAGGCCTTCCAGGGAGGACAGGCAGGAGGAGGAGAGGGAGGGGCGGAGGGCACAGTCAGAGGGCACCTCTCCTTGGCAAGCACTCTGCCTGGAGTCGGGAGCCCGTTCAGCAAATCTCTAAGCCTCCCTGGGGGCTCCGTCCTGACCTGGACCATGGAGGGGGCTCCCGATCCAGGAGTTAAGGCCAGCCTTCAACGAAGTAACTCGTGCCAAGGCTTGAACCTGCATGTAGGGATCTGGGTGAACAGAGGCACCAAAGAGGAGTTGTCTCAGTCCAGATCGCAGCACCAGGCCAGGACTACCTGCTGGGCCCCCTCTGTAGCTCTTTTAGCTAAGGCTTATTCACCCCTTGATGGGCGAGGAAATTGAGGCCGAGAACAGAGAGCCAGTGGATCTCCCCCAGCATCCAGGAACCTAAACGACATCGACTCAGGTCTTGAGCTGACCGGGATTTTGTAGGGTAGACAAGAGACCAAAGCCTTCTGGGCAGCGGAGGCAGGTGTGGCAGGTACTAGGCACCAGGAACCATGCCACGGGGCTGCAGGGCAGGGCACGGGGGTCGTAGCTGGAGGTTGCACGGGGTGGCCAGCGCTGGCCTTGGAGAAAGTGCCCTGTGTGCTTTGCACCCCACCCCAGAGTAGGGGAGGAGAGCCCCGAGGTCCCTGCTTGCGTGTGTGTGCACGCGTTTGTGCACGCGATTGCATGCAGGGCGAGGCGCAGTGTGACCCCAATGTGGTCTAGAAGCTGTCTTCTGGGAGGTCCCGATTTCCTGGTTTCTTAACCCCCAGATATTTGACCATATCTTGGCCCTGAGCTCAGATGGCTTCTCCTGACCTTTCCCCATGTGACCCAAGGTTTCCTGAGGGGTTATGATGGGGATTGGAAAAGACAGGGGGCGGGGGCGGGAGAAGAGAAGGAAGGAAGCTAGAGGATGGGCTTATCCCATAGCCATCTCACCAGTTGCTCAAACTCGTCTCTTGCCTCATGGAAAAAAGGCACAATGACCTCAGTTCCTGCATTGATACTAGTTAAAGATAACGAGGAATGGGGGGGGGGCTGGTGTGAAGTGTGGGTGGGGAGGGCCCCCTCTGTAGCTGTGTGTGTGTGTGTGTGCGCGCACGCACACATGTGCACACTCACATTTTAGAGGCTAACCACAGACCACACCTTCTTGCAGAGAGTTCTAGTTCTAATAGACACACACACAGGACCACCAGGTGCGTCTTCCTACTAGATAGAACCCCCAGCTACAGTCCCCAGGGGAGGAAAGCTCTCTCCTCCTCATTCATTGCCCCCCTACAGAGTCTGGGAAGTTCTTCATGTGAGCCCCAAGGGTACCAAGGACAAGTCCAGGGCAGCTGAAAAGATTCCCTGATGGTGGACATTCTCTAGGGCTCAGAGAAGTAATGTCCCTAGGGCTCCTGTGTGTCCCACACCTGCCCATCAGTCTGGGCGGATCCTGGGGCTGCACCAGGACTTAGGGTCTTGGTAGAGGATGGGTGTTCTCAGAGTCACGCCTTGCTGAAGGCACTGGTGGCACCATGTGAGAAGGACACCAGAGCACACCTCTCACCTGCCAAACGGAACCCTTGCCCACACTCTGGGTTTCCCACGACATCCATCTGCCCTCCCTCCATTCCCAACGGAGCAGCCTCACCCCATCATGGCTGCCCAGGGTGGGGACTGCATTTCCCAGGCTTGCTTGCTGCCAGGTGTGGCACTAAGATGCCGTGGGACAAGACGGTAAAGCCATGAGTCACCATCTTGGACAGTAAGATGACAAGCTAAGGTTCCTGATGGGGTGGAGCCTCCAACCTGCCTACGGCTGGACGTTCCACATTCATGTCATCGTTACTTTCTGTCCTTCACAGTCCAGGTGAAGCCTAACCAGTGCAACCTCTCACCAGTGGATTCACTTAAGCCTCAGGGCTCGCAGAAGGACGCACTTCCCCCAGGTACCCTCTGCATGGGGTAGTTCACCAACCTGGGCTGACATGTCGATCAGTCGTGGGAGGGACAACCTGCTGCCTTCATCTGACTTTAAGAAGTCCAGTAGGCATCCTGAGAGAGAGAGCGGGGGGGGGGGGGCTCAACTGCACTTGTGCATGGTGACCTGAGCGGGCTGGGGGCAGGAAGCGGGCACTGTCCTCAGATCTCTGGATGCACCGGGAGCTCTGCCTGCAGCTGTTGCTGCCTTAGGCTCACATAGACCCAGGCCTCACTACCCTGGGGTAGTGCCCAACCACCCAGAGTGAACGCACAGCAGGTTCAGGGACCTGCCTGAGGTCTCAGGGCCAGAGGAGTGGGGACTGGAACCTGAGCTCTGGCTCTGGGATTAGTGGTCTTTCCTGACCTGACAGGACATTCCTGCCCACCTGCCTTGCCCCCATCATCCTCAGTGGCAAGGAAACTGTCCCTGAGCTCCAAGCATCAGCAAGAAGACACTGGCTTGGAGAGAGCTGTTCCCAGACTGTTGTCCCATGAGACACCCTGTGGACCTCAGAGGCTGCCCAGCCTCAGCCCTCTGGTCACCATGCTATGAAATGTTCATATACTTGGAAAAGGTCCCATGATAGGAAGGGGCAGTAGAACTCTCTCTGGATGCCCAGCCAATGGCTCTTTCCCCTTTTCAAGGCTCTGTCCCTCCCAGCGGGTATCAAAGTGCACTGGGTGCAGAAGATGCACTCTGGGAGCACTGGCCGCAGGGCTCCTGAGCCGAGGAGGCAGCTCTGCAGAGACCAACCAGCCCTCCTGCTTCCCGGCCTCCTCCCCTCCTGCCCCCCTGCACCAGCAACGTCTGGTGCAGATCCTGTGGCGATCCCCTGGCCTGGCAAACCCACTGCAGCGATCCACCGAGACTTCCCGCCCTCTAAGCCTGGTCCTCTGCCGGGGCTGGGGCACCACCTCTGGCCATGTACTCGGTGACGATGAAGATGGGCTCCTTGGTGACCACGGCATACAGACGGACCAGCCTCTCATGCTGCAGGGCTTTCATCAGGTTGGCCTCAGCCAGGAAGGCTTCTGGAGACATGGCTCCCTCCTTCAAGGTCTTGATGGCCACCTTCAAGTTGTTTTTGTAATAACCTGACCAGGGAAGAGGGGTGGGGAGTAAAGGAGCCATTCAGAGGCTCAGAGAACATCTGTCACCACTGACACGAGATTCCAGGTGCCAGACCCTTCTATGGGGACCTGAGGCCAGAGATGGAATGTGTGTCCCCCAGGGTGATGGATGGGTGTTCATACTTGGCGAGGATGTGACCATCTCCCCTGGCCACACGGGAGCCTCAGGCAATGGAGAAATTTAGGGGGGAGGCATCATACTGAGTAACAGACAATGACAGGCCTGTCCTTCCCAGGGAAGCTGCAGCTCGCGCCAGGCCTGGGCAGAAGGCTCCAGGAGCATCAGGGTCTGAGCCTGACCTGGTGCCTCGGAGCAGGCAGACAGTAAACAGCCTTCTATGTTCCAACAGTGCTGTGGTGAGCAGGAGCCGCCTGCGGCTGGAGGACACTGGGAGCTGGAGTTGAGTGACTTGGCCCAAGTCAACACTGGCAGGTGGTGGCCTTGGTCTGCAACCGGGCTCTGGAGTTCCCAGTTAGTGGCCCACTCTGTCTAGCAGACAGCTTCTGTCTGAGCTGAGGCCAGGAAGTCAGCAAGCCAGCCGAGCGCACAGGGTCTGTGGCAAAGCCAGCCAGGGCTGAGAAGGGCTGAGAGAGTGGGTTCTGTCCTCTCCATCACCACTGGATGCCCCTCAGCATTCCAGGCCTGGCCTCTGCCTCTCCTCACAAGGCCTCCTGGGGCAGGAGCTCTGCGTACACTGGGCCCTTGGCCTTCAGGGGCAACTTGCCCTTTTCAGGATGCAGGGAGGGGAGGGGTGCCACAACTCACCCATCCACACTTCACCAAACTGCCCAGACCCGAGTTTCCGGACCAGCTTGAGGGACTGCCGGGGAATTTCCCATTCGTCCTGGACCCAGGGGTTCTGCGATGCCAAGCTCACACAGGGCAGGGTCAGCCTCTGGCATAAGCCATCCCCTTTCTCTGTATCAGGGAAGAAAGAAAAGTGAGCTGGAGGCCAGACTCCATGTGGACACCCTCCGCTGTGTGCACGAGGCATTGGCTTTGAATTACCCTGTGGAGAGGGGCCAGCTCCTCAGGTCTGGCTTTGGGTCACCCTCCAACTCCCCAAGGCAATTCACACAATTTGGGATCCTGTAATAGCCATCCCAAGAGCTCCTCTGGCACAAGCCCTCGCCCCTCCAAGACACCCCCTTACTAGAATAGTGCTGCACCAGGGCCTGGAGGGAGGGGAAGGTGGTCCTGGGGGAGATGTAGTAGCCCCCTTCATCCAGAGAGCGGATCTTATAGTGCTTGACCATCTCCCCCTGGGTGGTGACATCCTTCACAGACAGGGAAAAGGCACCTGGAGGCCAACAGACACAAAGGAGGAATAAGGCACAGAGTCAAAAGGTCGGGACCCAGATGGGGCTTGGTGTCCATGTTCTGAAGGACAGGTCCTCAGGTTCTGGGCTCCATTTCCACTGGTTTCCTTCATCCCAATTTGCCCCCCTGAGCCTCCCTGTTGGCTCCATCTGATCACCTTGACCTTCCCCAAAGCCTCAAACTCAATCAGAGAATCACGAGCTTGGGGCAGGTAGGACAATCTCTCAGCAATCATGCAAGTCCCCTACTTGAGCACCTGGTCCCTCAGCTACCCTTTGCCATGGAATGTTGAGACATGTTGGGGTCCTTGGCTATAAAGGCTGACAACTTCCCCAGGAAGAGGTGCATCCACCTTAGGCACCATGCCCATGGGAGGAGCACAGAGCTGTGTCCCACGGACCTGCTCCTTCAGCTTGGCAGACACACACCTGTGGATTTTGTACCTGTAGAGTAGTAGCACACGCCAAGGGCTAAGAACAATTGGGGAAGTAAGAACTTTCAGCTGAAAAACTTCTGTCCATGAACTTGGTGTTGCTATAAAATGCCTCTGTCCAGCTCTCTGGGTACCATGGACACTCCCTCCCTCTCCAAATCTTATTTGAGCAAGAGGTCCCTCTCTGGGCAGGCTTCCCTGGCCCCACCTCCCAGGAGCAGTACCACCCCTCTCCACCAGGGGTCAGAGGTGTTAAATAATAGTTCCATTGTCCCAGAGAAGAACTGTCTTACACCTCTTTCTCCATGGTCCTGTGTCTTTGGGCCCCTTCTTCTCAGGTCAGAACCAGCATCCCGTCCCCTTCCCATCTTCCTTGACGGGTTCGCCTCTCTCACCACCTACTTATGAAAGGACTAGAGAGGCTGTGCACTGTCCAGTGCACCAGGAAGTTGCCACCGCCCCCACACCCACTGCAGCCGCCGGCTGGAAGCTACAAGGTCCTTGCCCACCCGACCCCGGCTTGGTACCCCTGTGTCCCAGTCTGTAAGGACCTTGTCTCTAGCGCGTTCACAGATCCCTGGACCTCGCAGTGAGGACAAGAGCTTTCCTCCCCCTTTCTCCCACAGCGGCCTCTCAGTAAGCAGGGAGCCCTACTCTCCTGCACTGTGGGGGTCTTCTCCAAGTCCTCTCTGTGACGTCTCAGGACAGTGGGTGCTCTTCTTAAAGAGCACTTCCAGCTCCGACCAGCGTCAGGTTTACAGAACTAGGACTCTTGGCTCTGGGCTGTTTGGGCTGCCCTGGGCACAGAGGGCTGGCTCTCACAGATTCAGATTTCTTACCACAGAAAGGTACCCCTGCCTTTGGACTGGGAAATGAGGCTGTCGTCACAAAGACACCAAGAGCAGAGGCTTGAGAAGCTGAGGGACATCTAGAGGCCACTGGACCCCCCCAAGGCTGCCTCTCTGCTGGCCTTGCCTCCACTGGCCGTGGCCCTGTGATGCAGATTCAGGGCTTCCTTTGGAATGCTGAGGAGCCTGTGTGTGCACGTGTGTTGTTGTGTGTGTGCATGTGTGTCATTGTGTGTGTGCACACATGTGTGTGTGTTGGGGGGGAGTAGAGAAGACACAAGACCTGCTGAGTAGCTAATTGTGGAAGTGGACCCATGGGCCCCATCACACCATTCTGCCTCTGCATTTGCTGGAAATGCTCTACCAGTAACAGCCCCAGAACACACATGCCATCTCCACTGGTTCCCTGCTGGTTCCTTGGACAGGGGTGCTTTGCCCTGAAGATGGGATGGTGGCAACATCCCAATGTCTCTATATAACACCCAGGTGTGTACATGCATGTACTCGTGCACATAAGACCTGAGGCACCCGCTGGTGCATTACAGGAAATTCTGCCCAGAGCACCCTGAGTCCCGATGCCCCTCTGCCCCCAGTGTGGCCCTGGCCCTGATGCGCAGAACGGCTGCAGGGTGTCTCACGGTGCCTGGAGCTCTCTTCACCCAGCTTTTGCTGTCAGAAATGCAACTCCTGGCTGCTGTTCACTGGCCACTAACAGGAGCCAAATTCACATTGCAGTCACTCTCTGCCCCCATTCCTCCTCCGACTCCCCATAGCACATCGCAGGGCCCTGTGGGCAGCCTTCTGATGAACAGGTTTTCTTCACACCACTTGGAGGGTCCTTGATCCCCCCAGCCTGACACAGTCTGCAGCTTGCACAGATTCAGAGCCTCGTCCATGGTGTCCACTGTCGGCCTCAGACAAGGCCTTCCTCTCCCAGGGCCTCAGCTCCCTCATCAGTCAAATGGGGGACTGGCCTAGAATCTCCGAGGTGGACCACTGCAGCAGGTGTACCAAGGAGTCCACAGAGCATGACCAGAGTGGCACAGGCACCTCAGTCCCACTGGGAAACATCCCAGTGCCACCAGAGTTAGAACCACTGAGCCAGTCGTGGGATACGCACGCAGGACGTTCTGCACCACACGGAACTGAACTACTGCCACTCTCAATGCCCACGTGCCTCTGTCCTTGGTTGAGCTGTGTCTCAACAGCCCCAAATTCGGATGCTGCAGTGCTAATCCCTACCTGCAGGACACAACTGTGTCTGGAGACAGGGTTCTTAAAGGGGGATTAAGGTAAATGAGGTGCTTTGGTTGGGCCCTCACGCAACGGACTGTGTATTTATAAGAAGAGCCTAGGACACAGACACACAGGGAGGCCTGGTCAGGATTAAGGACCTAGGCATTAGACCAGAGACCCAGCACCTACTAGAAGAAAACGTAGGCCCCACTCTCCATCATGTCAGTGCAGGAATTGACTTCCTCAACAAGACTCCTGAAGCACAACTAGTAAAATCAAGAATCAATAAAAGGATGATATCAAACTAAACATCACAGCAAAGGAAACAATCAAGAACGTGAAGAGAGAGCCTACAGAAAGGGAGAAAATCTTTGCCACCTGCATCTCAGAGTATTAATCTCCAGGATATATAAAGCATTCAATAAACACCACCAAAAAAACTAGTAACCCAATCAATAAATGGGCAAAGGAATTCAACAGGCACTTCACAAAAGAAAAAATATGAATGATCAACAAATACATGAAAAAAATGTTCAACATTTCTAGCAACTAGAGAAATGCAAATTAAAACTACTGTAACATTTTATCTCACTCCAGTCAGAATAGCAATTGTCAAGAATATAAGTAGTGCTAAATGTTGATAAAGATGTTGGGGGAAAGGCACACTCCTGCATTGCTGGCGGGACTGCAAATTGGTGCAACTACTTTGGAAAGCAGTGTGGAGATTCCTCAGAAAACCTGGAATGGAAGCACCATTTGACCAAGTTATCCCACTCCTCAGTATATACCCAAAGGACTTAATCAGCTTACCACAGAGTCGCAGCCACATCAATGTTTATAGCAAATAAATTCACAAAAGCTAAGTTATGGAACCATCCTAGGTGCCCTTCAACAGATGAATGGATAAAGAAAATGTGATACATACACACAATGAAATATTCTCAGCCATAAAGAAGAATGAGATTGTGGCATTTGCTGGTAAATGGATGGAACTGGAGACTATCGTGCTAAGTGAAATAAGCCAATCCCCCAAAAAACAAAGGCCAAATGTTGTTTCTGATATGGGGAAGCTAACACACAAACATCAGGAGGAGGGAAGAATAGAGGTTGACTGGATTAGATAAAGAGGAATGCAGGGAAGGGAGGGGTGGGAATAGGAAAGACGGTAGAATGACTTGGCCATCACTTTGCTCTGTTCACAACCAGGTGAACACACGGCCAGGGAAACTCTACTTCATGTTCAACCACAACAATAGGACCCTCATTAGAGTAAGTCACACTCCATGAATGTATAATATGTCAAAATGCATTCTACTGTCCTGTATATCTAAAAAGAACAAATAAACAAAAAAGGAAGAAAAAAGAAGGAATGTCATTGAGCTAAATGACCAAAGAAGGAAGAGAAGCACAGTGGCTTGGTGGCGGCAGGAAAGCCTGCTCAGTCTCGGGTTTGAATCTGTGATCCTTGGGACGGGGTCTGCCTCCCCAGATCTCCACAACCGAGCATCACCCCAAACTCCTGTTACCTGTGCTCTCTGACTGAGATGCTCTCTAGGGATACTCTGAACCCCCAAATCCTTTGATTCCCAAATGTGGCTAGACCCTGAGGCTGAAGGGGACACAGGCTCCTCAGCCCCCACGGTTCCCAGTGTAGCTGCCGACAGTGAGTGGCTGGGTGTGTGGCTCTCTGCCATCCAGCCTGGGGGACGGCATGTTGGCATACACCATCTTAAAGCCAGCTCCTGGGCAGAGTCCAAATCAGGAGGGAGACCAGGGCAGTGGCTGCTGAAGAGGAGCCTGGTGGTGGGTGGGTGCTTCTTGAGGAGCCCCGGGCAGGAGGTGGCAAGGCCACCACTGACCTTTATTGGTCTCGCTCTCTCTGATGAGGAAGGCACCCGCCTTGTTCATTGGAGCCAGCAGCTGCCTCTCCGCCTCCTTGCGGCTGATCGACCTAAAGAACCACCTAGAAAAGGGCAAAGGCAGTGAGCCTCAGAGAGCGACCACGCTGCCTGGAGCATTCTAGTCCATGCACCTTTTAGGCTCAGCCGCTCCTGTTCCCCTGTTAACCCTGTCCCTCTGACCCTATCCCATCCCATTTCCTATCAGCCGCTGGACTTACTGTCTCCCTGAAATGAAACGGGAACATAGTTTGTATGACCTCTGCAAAAATGCTCCAGATGGATGGCCCTTCCCCACAGTGCAGGTGGCACACAAGAGCAGGCGCCCGCTCTGGAGCTGTGTCTGAATGATTGAGACGCCAGAGACGCCCAGCCTGGGCTCCCTCTGTGTTCAGCAGGGGCTGCTCAATGTGGAGGTGCCCTAGCTTCCCGCACACGGTTCTGGGACAGACATGGGACCAAATGTCAACCACTGTGACACCTTCCCCGTTCTGGGAGAGCATACCTTGCACCTGCACCAAGTGAGAGACTAAGTGGGTGGGTGGGTGAGTGAGTGGGTGGGTAAGTGAGTGAATGGGTGTGTGTGTGTGTGTGTGTATGCGCGTGCACGGGTGGGTGAATGAGTGGGTGAGTAGGTGAGTGAGTAGGTGGGTGAGTGGGTGGGTAGGTAAGTGGGAGTGGATGAGTGTGTGGCAGGGGATGGGAGAGTGAGTGGGTGAGTGGGTGGGTGAGTAGGTGAGTGAGTAGGTGGGTGAGTGGGTGGGTAAATGTGTGGATGAGTGGGTGAGTGGGTGGGTGAGTGGGTGAGTGAGTGATGAGTGGGTGAGTCAGTGGGTGAGTGAGTAGGTGAGTGGGTGTGTGAATGGGTGGGTGGGTGAGTGGGTGAGTGGGTGAGTGACTGAGTGGGTTAGTGGGTGAGTCAGTGAGTGAGTGGGTGAGTGGGTGGGTAGGTGAGTGGGTGAGTGAGTGGGTAGGTGGGTGAGTCAGTGAGTGAGTGGGTGAGTGGGTCAGTGAGTGGGTGAGTGGGTGAGTCAGTGAGTGAGTGGGTGAGTGGGTGGATAGGTGAGTGGGTGGGTGGGTAGGTGAGTGGGTGAGTGGGTGGGTAGGTGAGTGGGTGAGTGGGTGGATGAGTGGGTGAGTGGGTGAGTGGGTGGGTAGGTGAGTGGGTGAGTGGAGAATGAGCAGGCCGACTGCCCTGACCAGCGTGGACCTTCCTGATGTGTTCTAGAAGCTGGTGATGGGGATGCTGCAAACCCAGTTCTAAACAAGTCCCCTCTCCTGGGACGCCCCTGGGATCTGAGCCCTGAGTCCTGTCCCTGGAGGCAGTGGGGAGTTGCTGGTTAGGTCCTTGCTGTGAGCTCTGAGGCTAGACACTGGGACGGTTCCATCCAGGGATGCTAGGGAAGGGGCGGCTCCTGGTCCAATGGGAAGAGTGACCTCCTTGGAAGCGCCCAGTGGTCTAGATGTCACTCTCTGGTCCCCTGCTGGAGTCCCAAGGCTCACAGTGGGGCCCACTTTCTGGCCCTGCCCTGAGTCACAGCCTATGGAACAGAAGCAGCGACTGCCCCTCTGGCTCGAGGGGACTTGTTGGTCCACGTACTTTTCCACTTCCAGGGTCTCCAGGGGGGCCACAAAGTTGCTGGGCACATAGCCTTCTCTCCCTGTGACGAGTGACTTGGCCAACCACCAGTCTCCAGTTCTAAGGGGAGAAGGGAAGACAGAAGCATGATGAACCCCCATGGGCCTCCCTGAGCAGCTCCTGGTGCCCCCCAGTGTGATCCCCCCGCTCAGGAGGGTGGGGACTGGTGGAGGTGGACAGTCTGGAGAAAGGAGGAGCTTGCAAGTCACTCGGTGGCTTCTGGTCTCTTTCCACTGTGTGGAGCATCTGACAGGCAGGAGCTCCCTGTGCACGGAGGCAGCCCTGGGCGCTGGAGCATGGGTGGGATTTTGACAACAGAGCTAAAGGCCATGGGCAGAAACCACCTCACCAGAAAGACTTTGGAGAGGACAATGGGTCGAGTTTAAGAACGTGCCCGGGACAGGCGGGCTGTGCGATGGAGAAGATGCTCTGGAGGCAGCCCTGAGGGCGAGGTGGGGGACAGGGAGGCAGAGGGGCCGCAGGACTGACAGAGCGGGGACGGGGGGAGCTTCCGGAAACTCACTCCTTCAAGACCTGCAGCTTCTCGCCCTTCAGCATCTGCAAGTCCCGGTCATTCACAGCGGCATAGTCATACAGGGCCACCACAAAATGCTCCTCTGGAAAGAACAAAGTAGAGATGGCCACCACTCAGGGCCTCAGGAGAGGGGAACTGGGAGAACGTGTGTCGTGAGCCATCTTCTGGCTACCAAGCAGGGCAGGGGCAGGGCCAGAGCTGAAGAGAAAAGTCTCATCAGGCGGCCTGTCTGTCCAGGGACAGGCTGCCGTCACAGCCCGCCTGTCTTCCTGTCTGAGCTCTGCTGAGAAGCCCTGGACTGGGATGAGGATTGGGGAGGGTGGGTGTGCAGCGGCCACCATTGCTGGCCATCAGCGGGCTGCAGGACCTAGTTTGGGAACCACCGTTGGCTGGTCCCCCATCCAGCCATATCCCCCCCTGCCCCCAGCCCGTTAGTGTGAGAGCCTCCCCCCTTGTCCCCTTCCTTCTCCCCCTCCCAGCCTTATCCCAAAGTACCACATCTTGAAGGTGGCAGCTGAGGCCACCTTCACCTCTCCACCCCGTTGGTACCCAAGCCCCAGTGGCGAGCCTAGCTGGCGGCGCCCAGCCTGCCTGGCCCCAGCCCTCTCTGGAGGACTGCTGACTTGCTGGGGGTCCCTGGAACAGATTTACGAGAGGGCTGGGCTTGTGGCAGGCCATCTTTCAATGATCACTGCTAGTGATGAAGGCTCCCTGCACACTTGGCCCAGGTCCCCCAGATGGCTCTCTGCCTCCCCAGGAGTAATGACTCAGCTCTGTCACTGATGAGTGGTGTGACCTTGGGCCAGTTGCCTCCCTTGGTTGGGAAAGAGGCATTGGAATGGATGACAGTCACCCCTGTGGTCTAGGGCTCAAGTCCTGGTGCACCAGGGGTCAGCACATTCACGGCCCCTGAGCTTCCTTCCTAGAGGTGGGGAGCTCCTGTCAGGAGATGAAGGATCACCCATCAGACAGGACAAGGGACACCAGGTGAGGACGCTGACTGGTTGAGGAATCTGCTTGTGAGGGTGACAGGCTGAGATCCTGGAGGGAGGGCCCCGGGTTACCCCTCGCTACCCCTCCCCTGGCTGTGTGCTGCAGGCCCCGTGCACTAGGTGAGCCAGGGAGAGAAGGGCCCTGCTGGCCTGGCCGAGGCGGCCCTTCCTGGAGGCTGTTGGAAGCAGGTGGTGGGCATGCTGGGAAAGCCGGTTCTGAACTGGGCCCTGTGCTGTGAGCCCCGGAGGTCTGAGCTGGTCCAGGAAGGCTGTGCTTACTACCCCTTACGTCATGTGCTGCTCACCAGGGCAGAGTGGAATCTGGGAGAGGGGGATGGTGAGGGCGATTAGAGGGTCTCCAGGGGGGCTTGAACATGGCTGAGAAGGTGCCCCCACGTGGAACAGAACCCAGGCTAGGGGTGGGGGAGAAGTTGGCCTGGCTCCGGCCGGGGTCTGAGGGTGCTCTCTGCACTTCCTGGAACTCTTTTCTGTGCTCCTGTTTATATTTGTGAAGTCTGTCGTTTTTATTCCCACAGGCCTGCACCCACTAAGGGTCTCTGCCTGGTTCCTGGGGAGACACTGGGACGCATGACATCATGGAGGGAGTTGCTGGCTCTCAGCTCCCGGGCATTCTGTTCTTCTCCACCCTGGAGGGCCCATCCTACTGTCCCCTGATCTAACTCCAGGGCCCCAAGTCAGACGCCCCCTTCTTACCACGGTCTGGGTGCTCCTCGGGTGGTGGAGGGGTGAGGTGATTGAAGACCACCTTGGGCAGAAACACACACACTCCAAGTTAGTTCAGCTCCTGCTGCTGAACCCGGATGTATCGAGAGGAAACTCTAGAGCATGTCAGCCAGACTACCGAGGGGTCTGCTCTGAGGAAGAGGGTGGCCACCTTTGGAATTTCCATACATGCGGCTCCTCAGGTACCAGCGCCACCCCTAGACAAGCCCCGGACCATCTGGCATCTGGCCCTGGCCACAGTACACATGCCCCATCTTTGAAGGGAGAAAAAAAATCAGCCACCAGGATTAAAATCCTGGTTCTATCATTTAAAGTTGTGAAGTGGTATTTGGTGACATGGAAAGAGTCTTAGAGAGTAGATTCCCTAAAACTCAACAAACATTCTCACAGGCCTGTGGGTCAGCTGTGGCACACGGATACCACAGAACATGACGAGAGTGCTCCGAGTAATGACAAGAATGGTAATACCTAGCGCATTGTAAAATGTGGGATTACCCTTGGGACCCATGACGGAGGATTGGACAGGCTGAAGTAGAGCCGTGCAGTGGGATGAACAAGCTGCAGTGACACCTGTCAGCACAGGTGAACCGGCAACGTAATGCAGAGGCCAACCCGAGTCCCAGAAGAACACGGGGTGCTGGATTCAGTTGGTGTAAAGTTCATGATGTGAAAAATGAACCTGTGTATTGTTTAGGGGAAATACATACGTGGTAACAAAAAAGGAATGATAAGCAGGTTTGGAATGCGGGGGTCTGGGGTGAAGGGGACAGGCTGGGTAGGCAGAGAGAGTCAGGGAATGAGTCACTTTTGATTTCTGAGGATGAGGATTTATTTCTTAGTAGGCGAACACTTTTTTTTTTTTCTGTGAGATTTTATTCTCTCAACCTGACGTAGGTGTTATAAATCTTACTTTTTTTATTCCATACTTATTGGACACAATTTTGAAGTGGTTTTGCAAAATGGTGGCACCATGTGGTTCCATTAAAAACTTGCTCCCGTGATAAAATGAATGCATAGGAAAAGGGTCTGGAGCAGGACCTCCGAGGAGATGACTCCTGGTATTTCTGGGAAGTGAAATGATGAGAAATCATCATCATTTTGTTTCCCACAATTATGTGGCTTGCTTTTTTTTTTTTTTTTTTGGTACCAGGGATTGAACCCAGGGGTCCTTAACCACTGAGCCACATCCCTGGCCTTATTTATTTATTTTAATTTGATTTTTTTAGCTATACATTACAGTAGAATGTACTTTGGCAAATCATACATACATAGAGTGTAACTTATTCTATTCAGGAACCAACTTCCTCAATAAGACTCCTAAAGTGTAAGAAGTAAAATCAGGAATCAATGAATGGGATGGTTATCAATCTGAAAATCTTCACAGCAGAGGAAACAATCAAGAATGTGAACAGAGATCCTATAAATGGGAGAGAAATCTTCACCACCTGTACCTCAGATGCAGCATAAATTTCCAGGATACAAACACTCAAAAGACAGCACCCGTCATTCTCCAAAGTCCCTCTGCTGTGTGCTGAGCCCTGTGTTACTCAGGGACACAGAGAAGATGCCCAGGTTCACCCATGGAACGGGGTCAGCAGTTCCTACACCTGACGGGTCCCTGTTAGATGAAATGATGACCACGTGAACATGCCCATGGTGGGCACCAAGCAGAACAGGGGTCCAGGTGCCACTCTCCAGTACCCCAAACCAAAAGAGGCTCTGCGGTTGGGCAGTGGGGAGGTGTCAGTCATCCAAAATCACGCCCCGGAGGGGCAGGTCCAGGGAGCCCTGGATGCACTGGGCTCTCTTTCCCACTCCCTCCCCAGCTCTGAGGGGCTGGGCACTTACCAGGGGTGGCAGTGGTGGGGGGTCTTTGCTCTGGGTGCCGATCCTCAAGGGGCTCCAGCCCTTGCCTTTCTCAGTGACCTGCCTCTTGCTGCTGAGCAGACCCATCCTGTAGGGAGCACAGCAGATGGATTGTGAGACCGTAGGTCCTCAGGACCTCTGCACAGAGGAGCCACCGCAACCAGCTTCAACTAGAAAGCTTGGCGGAGGTGGAGCAGCAAAGGCCTCAGAGTCAGAGAGAGTTAGGGGGCGGGGTGAGCCAAGATCACATCCATCTTCCTTCCTTCCTTCCTTCCCTTTTCTTTTTTTGGGGGGTGGGGGTGCCCAGAGAAAAGAAATGACTGCATTGAGGACAAAAAATGACCTGGCCTGGTGCTGTGGCCAGAAACTGCTGGGGTGGATCCTAGACCCTGGGGACAGGGAAGGCCTGACCTACCTGGAAGGAAGCTGGGCAGGGAGGCCACACTGAGTTCCAGGGGAGCCTGACCTACCTGTCCAGGGCCTGGGCTTTAGTCTTATTTTTGCTGGTGGGCAGGCATGTCACTAGGAAGTCACAGTTCCCAGGGCCCGTGGGCTCCTTTGTAGATGGCAAATCTTTGTTAGAATGTGTCTACCCTCCTTTCCAGATCAGATTTCAGGTAGGACACCCTATGTTTAAGGCACACAGCATAGGCATTAGGTCAACTGCAGCTTCTCAGAAATATCAAGAATCTTCTTTAGCCTGACACGGTGTTGCACACCTGTAATACCAGCAGCTTGGGAGGCTGAGGCAGGAGGATCACGAGTTCAAAGCCAGCCTCAGCAATGGTGAGGTACTAAGCAACTCAGTGAGGCCCTGTCTCTAAATAAAATACAAAAAAGGTCTGGGGATGTGGCTCAGTGGTTGAACGCCCCCGAGTTCAATCCTCAGTACACCCCCTCCCCCCCAAATCTTCTTTAGAGGTGAGAAAAGCACAGTTAAGGCTATTCTTCGGTAAATAATCATAATGTGGCAGTCAGGGGAAGACCAGAGACCATTCCGTCAACACCACCCACCAGTCACCACTGTGCAGCTGCCAGGGCTACTGCTCAGGGCCGGGGGGTGTTCAGTGTTCATAGGTTGTCTATGGCCCATGCAGAACAGGCCCTGGAGCCCCCATCTAACCTGAGACCACCACAGCCCCACATGCACATCTGGCCATCCACAGGATGTCCGCTCTCAAGGGGAAGCCCCAAGTCACTACTCTTGCTGAGGGGCATGTGAGTGAATTCCTTCAGGCGAGGATACCGTATTCCATCCATTCTAAGATGCACCTTTTTCCCGTTTCAACATCTCTGAAACCAGGAGGAGTGTTACAATCCTCGGTACATTGTAGTATGATCACTAACAGCTTTTCCTGTTTTAGCAATACTATGAAATAAATGCTAGCTCCCTAGAGTGGTGCCTTAGATTCAGTGAAATACACATCTCTCCTCAATCTCATCTTTAAAAAAAAAAAGACTATAATAATTTTGTATATAGAACAGAGCCACAGCAGCTAACCACAGTCTGTTTTTTTTTTTTTAGTATGTCTTGCCATAGAACACCTAAAGCTTTACATTTGTAAAGAAAAATACTTTTTTATATTTAAAAGTTCTTTATGTTAATTCATATCAGCTTTACTATCAAATCACTCATGGTGCAAAAATTACAAGCAGCACTTCATCTTGCAGAGATTTTTGTTTCCAGAAGTTTGAATATGGGATTACAGGTTTGTATTAGGAACACCTACTGAATTTTCACAGGTCTTTGATTAGTATCTATGATAGATGCTTTGTTCTTCTTTGTTGACACAATGAATTTTTTTGATAAATTTTCTGATAACAAAATATCTTTGCATTCCTGAATAAAAGCTGTGTGGTTATACTATGTTACCCTTTTTGACAGGCAAATGGACCCTATTTGCTAGTATCTTCTTTAGAATGAGAACCTACATTTCCAAGGGAGATTTGTATGTGGCATTAGCACTAAGGTGCTGCTGGCTTCATCGTATATTCTGGGGAGCTCTCTACCTTTTCTATAGTCCCTAGTAGCTTAGTTAGCATTGGGATTACCTGTTCTTTAAAGGCTGGGTAGGTCATAGCCATTATATCACATGTTCCTGGGGCTTTCTCAAATGGTAGATCTTCAAATGCATCTCTCATTTCTTGTACAGGAATTGACTCACTTTCCGTCCTCTTTGTGCCAGTTTGATGAGTTGTATGATTTATAGGAGACCTTCGATTTCTTCTACAGTTCTCAATTTGTTGCCATAAAGTTTTGTGTAGTGTCGTTATTTATTTATTTTTATTTATTTATATTTTGGCAGTGTTGGGATTGACCCCAGATTGCATGTGCTAGGCGAGCATGCTACGGCTGAGCCACATTCTCAGTCTTTGTAGCATTGTCTTGTAACTCTTGATTACGGCTTCTTTCTTGATCCTAATATAAATTGAATGTACTTTCTACTCTAATTAAAATTCCAATTGAATAAAATTATCTGGACATTAATACAATCAAATAAAGTTTTAATCTAGCTTAAAAATTATGAAAAAGAAGACTTGCCTAGCACTACAAAAAGCAAAACAGAACACTGCAAAAAATGGCATGAAGTTGGAATAGAAATAGATATCTCATTAGTGGAATAGAATAAGAACCCTGCACACGAATTCTGAAAATAACACAGGAACTACATATATGAAGGTAGTGCTATTTTAATTCAGTAGAGAATAGATGGTTTATTTTAGTTTATGGTACTGGGAAAATGACTATCTACCTAGAAGAAAACACAATCTTACCTCACACCATATTTAAAAATAGGTCTGGGAATGTAGCTCAGTGGTAGAGGCTTGCCTAGCATATGTATGGCCCTGGGTTCCACCTTTAGCATCAAAACAAAACAAAACAAAACAAAACTGGGTGCACTTTAAAAAAACAATATGTTTAAAAAAAGAAAAACAAAAAAATTGAAAAATTGATTGATTGGTAGAAAATCATACATAAAACCCAGAGTTTGGGGACAACTATTAACAAAGATAGGATAGCCAGAAGCTAAGAGAGAACAAAAAAATACATTTATAAACATTGAAAGTATTTCATGACAAATGAAACCCATAAAGTCAGCAAATAAACGATAGGTTGGGGAAAAATTTGTGGAGCACAAGTCAGGGAAAGCCTTTTTTAAAAATAATTTTTAGATATTAATGAACCTTTATTTTATTCATTTATTTGTATGCAGTGCTGAGAATCGAACCCAGTGCCTCACACATGCCAGGAAAATGCTCTACTACTGAGCACAACCCCAAACAAAGGGAAGATTTTGTTTATAATGTATTCAGAGCTCATGAAAATTGACAGGAAGAATATGGTAACATCAATCCACTCAACAGTAAAACTCATGAAAATTGTAAATAGAAAGTTCATAAAGCTCACACCCAAATTGCTAAATGAACATAGGAAAATATTAAGGTTATTTACTAAATGGAAAACACAAATCAAGAGAACAATAAAATGTCACACTAAATGAATGAGACAGATAAAGATAAACAACCAACCAACCAAACAAAATGATAATCCAATTGTTGATGGTAAAGTGAAGGAAAATTGTATTTGCACACATTTCAGGTAGAAAAGCATATATTCTAGGTACTATTATTTTGTCTGGGCTCTTTATTTTATTCATTGTTGACTCCAAATTTCTAAAGCAGTGCCTGCCACGGGGTGTGCACCTAACAAAATATTTATCAGGCAAATAAAATGTGAAATACTACTGACTTTTCAGAAAGCATTGATTGTTTGTTTTTCAGTGCTGAAGACCAAACCCAGGGCTTCTTGCCTGCTAGGCAAGCACTCTGCTACTGAGCCATAGACTCCCAGCTGGCAAGAAATCTTTTAAATTCTGTTAAAATTAAAAAAAAAAAACAAAACCACACCTTTAGATTTTCAGTTCCACTCTGGAATCTATCAGATGAATGTAACATCATTATATAGAAATATATGAGATATAAAAATGTTTTTGCAGCAATAGTTACAGCAGCAAAACAAACAAAAAACTCCCCAAAATCAATAATGTAACTGTTCATCAGTTAGGGAATTGTTGAATAAATCTATACTCTAAACTTCTCTAGAATGTTATGCCACTATTATAAAGATTGTGCTGGATCTTTACCAAGGCTAAGTAAAATGTCTACAGCATGCTGAACACAAGAAAGAAAGATACCCCACATTTGGAAGTATCCGAGAATGTGAAAAGAAATCCCTCCTTAGGCACGTGTGTGTGTGTGTGTGTATGTGTGTCACATAGGGAGAGGTCTAGGAGGAGGAGTGTAGAATTGCTGTTTTCTTGGTTATTTTGATTATTGGCAGTGGCATTGGGAGCTGGGAAGATAGGCACAAAAGACAGAGATGAGAAGCCAAAAATAAAAGCAAAATTTAAAACTTGTTGGGGGTGGGGGTATGGGGTGGTGTACTCATGCAAAGTAGGGCCCAACACAATAGTTCCTAAAATGTCAACATTGTTTATCTCAGGTAATAAGAGTTAGTGTGATAATTTAATATTCCTTGAATACTCAAGTAGGAAGCATATTTTATTGTTACAAACAGAAAAATACTAAGAATGTGAATGATTTGCCCAGTAGCTGAGGGGCTTATGGCCTGGAGTCAGGCCTCCTCCAGTCCCAGCAAGAGAGAGTGGCCCGGGCTGTCTGAGCCTCAGGCCCTTCCTGACCTCTCAGCCTCCCTGGCTCAACACGGGGTCCACGGGCAGCTGCTCCCAGAGCTTGCCCTGGGCTTGGACACCTGCTTCTTCACCGAGTGACCAGCCCTGTTATCTTCCTCTGTCCAGTCAGCCCAATCACCACCAAGTTTAAACTTGGTCAAACACTGTGTCTACTTAAACATCAAACATGAACATTTAAAAACAAGGCAGAAAGAAAAATTCCTAAAATCAAACAACCTATTACTTACACTTGTGTCTTTCCACTGCTTAGCAGAGTACGTCCAGCTTTTCCATGGCCTTTAGGACTACTTGGGATCTCTCCGGAGCCTCTGCCCCAGTGGCTCTGAATGGAGACTAGAGTCACTCAGGAGCTGAGTGACAACCAGCACTGTGA